GTTGACCGAAGATTGAATCCCTTACAAATATGCCACAAATAAAGCGGAGAAACTATTACATGAATTTATAACCTGTAGAATTATTGACATTACTTTTCCATCCATAACCTGGACAACAACCATTTGGATATCTTAAGGCAGAACAAAAATATTCTGTCACCGAATCTCAATGCAAAATGCTTGTTCACTATTAGTTCAAATATTTTTTATATGAACAGACATGAACATAAACTACATATAATTACTTACTGTCCACATTTAGAAACGGCCATTATCCAACACCTACGTGTTGAGCAAATTATCATTACAATTATAACAAAATTGATCATACTCAGGCTATGGATTACCGGTAGATGAAACTTTTTGTTAACTAAAAACCATACGAGTAGACATACTGAAAGAGTTTCTACATAGTATTACGTTAAGATATGAACCTAAAATCCTTTCAATAAACCAATCATTAGAATTTGGAGTAGTGTTTTCTATGTAGCAAGCTTTACGGAAGTGTGAACCCTAAGTTCAATTTCTACTAATCTCTCTCCCCCTCTCTCCCCTCCCCCCCTCTCTCTCTCTCTTTCTTTATCTCTCTCTCTCTCTCTCTCTCTCTAAACCTCATTACATTTATTAGTTTTATTGATTAAAAATATTTAAAAAATTAAGATACATTAAAAAATTATTTAAAAATATGTCTACAATATGTTATGAACACTAATGAAAGGTTTGCGTGTTTGTTTGTTTTTTCTATTTTTGTCTCTCATATGTTTCCTCATTTTTGTCTGTGCCAGTTTGACAAATTAATAAATAAAACTCTTCTAATAATGAGTTATACTCTGAAGTACAATAAATCAATCAAGTGAGAGTAATGGAGTCAACAAAAGACAGTGTCAAGTAATTGTACTTGAAGCAATATACATTCAAGTGTTTGAAAGTACATAGGATTAAACGCCACTTGCAATATTATCGTAATGAAACGAACATGTTTCCTACTTCGCTTGATTTTAAACAGAACAGATCATGTTTACAATCACCACTTCTAAAATAGCATCCTGGTCATAACTTTAGAACATCAATTTGTTTTTGTCATATTGCACGTGAAGGGTATTTATCAAAGGTCAAAGTACTTTTAAGTGATAATCTATAATGATACAAGTGCAAGGAATAAGTTATTTTAAGTGTTTACTATGAAATATATCATATCTATTGAACTTTATAATATACCTCTGATTTTATAAACAAAGTTTAAACGAAATGCTAGGTACAGTGGTGTATGTTTTGCAGGCAATAAATGTGTTAAAAATATATTCTCTAGATAAGGAAATGAACTATAAGCAAGCTTCAATTTATATTTATATGAACATTTTTTTTTTAAATATCGCTATCAAATATGGATGTCAGCAATTTCATGATTATATCCATTTGAAACGTGTTTATTTGAAATTTAAACGTCCCTTTTTGTGAATGTTACTGCGAAGTTATATTTTTATGTTGTTTTTTTTTTCAATTTTCAGCTTGATAAATAGTCGTAAGATAAAATTGCACGACAGGAAGATAGTTTCTTGATAAGACAAAAAAAATCATATGTTTTCTATTAATTGTACTTCCAAATTCTTGTATTTATCATTTTCTTCAGGACAAAAAATGTTTAATTTGTTTAACAAAAAGTATTTTTTTAATGATTATATAAACTTTAATTCTTTATAAAATAAGTACCAAAATGAGAATCCCCTTACATTTTAAACGGAAATTTATAGAACGATCAAATTATGGCTAGATATAACTTTGTTCAGGAAAAGTCGCAATGATATTAAATACACCTACCTAACAATAATAAGATGTAGGTGTGCTATTAAACCTTCTGAACACACGAAGTAAAAAAGAAAAGATAATTAGGATATCCTTTTTCCCGTAGTTTGTAGAAAAGAGTTATCTATCCTGCAGTATATGTTGACACCGGTTGGCGAAAAAGAATCGTCTATTCAAATGGCTGGTAGTTGAAAACGATAATAGGTCATCGATGTACGTGTTCCAATCGAGAAAACTATATAAATACACTGTAAACTACATGTATTTTTATTAGACAACATTTAACATTTCAGATTACATAACATATCTGTAAATAAATGTATATTAAAGATAAATAACACAAACAACCTTTTTTACAGAAATCAGCAATATTTCTCATAGATTTACATTTAAATTGGTAACCTTAATAATGTTAACCAAGTATAAAGGGAATATTGATTAACATTTTGTTATAAGGTTAAAAATTTGTACAAAATTGTGTATAGAATTATATAGAAAGCAAAACAAAGCCTCAGATCTAAGCACCAAGGAAAACCTAAGATTTTTTTTATATTTCAGGGATTTATTATTTATATCATTTCAAATCAAAATCAGTCAAAAAATATATGTATCAATCCATGCATCCATATTTTGTTTGTTTTAAGCACCCTTAAGTGTAAAATTCTGAATTATATCTTTCAACTAATTATAAGGAGGTATTTCTCTTCTAAAACTATCAAACCAAATTCGCACTTAAAGCTCTGTTCAACGAAAAGTTTTTATAATAATTTCTGAAAGTTACACAACGGTATAGAACGTTTCTGTCGTATAAACCATAAACACGCATTTTATAATTTTTCGTTGATTGTGTACATGTGCTTTTTCAAGTCTCTTGTTTGATGCCACTGTAATTATTGTGATGCATAAGAGCATTTTAATTTGAAACTTGAAAATAAGTATTAGAAAGGTTTTTTTCTGCAAATTTTAATTAAACATACACTGAAATCTGTACGGATTCTTCATAGATGAAAAAATTAAAATGCATTTTTCTTAGATTTGCTACACTTTCAAAAATCCACAACTTATAATCTAAATTGCAATATATATGACCGCATTAAAAAAATGACCGTAACAGATTTTACTTTGAATAAAAAAAATACTTACATATAGAATCATCATTTTTGAGGGGAAGAAGTATCCGTATATATCTCAGGCCATCCTTTCACACGAATTTACATCCCCACGAACGTTTATTATATAAGAATTGATTCAATGAGTACATGTAACATAGGAAATTCTTTCCACACAAACAATTAAAAACTGCTTGCCGATGAAGATTGACCAAAAATAATTGAAATTCTTCCTCGGTATCAATTCATTGATTTGTTAGCTATTGTAAAATCCTGCTTGTGTCTAAGTAAAGAATTTTTAATATATGAGCTACTGTATACAGGGAAATTTTCATCCCGTTTTATTTTTCGCCCTTTTAGCCCTACCTCTTTTGGGAGAATATAAAACGGGGCGTAATCAAAAATTACAGTATCATTTCTTAAACAAAACTATAAGTGGGCGAATTTAAAACGGGACAAATTTGTTTTCAAGTGTGAAAGATCGTTTTTCATTTTTTTTTTCTCCAAATTTACAAAATTTCATCTTTATGACAATTTTTTTTTATATCTTGACATGCATAATAAAATGTTCCAAATTAATCCAATACCTGCACCCAATTTTATGCTTAAATCCCAGGTATTTTGACAATGTCTTTTCCCAGTTCGGCACATTGTAAATTTCACCACACTCCTTGAACTGAATTTTTAAGAGGAAACCTAGAAAAAATAATTGCTAAAATCTTCATGGAATAATTGTATAATATAATTTTCTCATTGAAAAATAAATTAAATGATGTTAAATAAATTGATGAATATACTTGGTTCAGCACAACATGTACAGGAAATGGCAAGAGATCGAAGAAAACACATTTCAAAATATTTACCTAGGCCATATCTGAGCTCCCCAACACAAGAAGAAAGTGCTGTTGATTATTTTGAACAGTCTTCATCTAATTTTTCAGCTAAATTATTCAGCTCCACTATTCTAAGGCTGCAAGAATCCCCTCTCATTCCTACAGCTATAACTCATCCTCATCACTTTCAAAGTCTGATCAATCAGCATTTTCAAAAGAATTATATGTATGAAATTATTATTATATTTTCATTACTTGTACAAAACCTCAGGATGAAAAAAGAGCAATTGCAAATTTCATTATCTCTTATATTACCAGGTGACAAGGGCTGGTAATGCTCTGGATTGTCAACATCATCAGCAACAGCATCAGTATCATTATCTAATACATACCTACGCTTTAGACATAGAGAAAAAAAGTTACTTTTTTATTATTTGGTCCATTTAAACAGTGAAATATATAAGTTGTGTAACGTGCTTGAATCTTTTTATGTTCATCAAAGCAAACATGGTTTAGAATCTTTACTTTTCCTCAGATACCGTTTTAATATATATGTCAATATTTTACATATCTCGGTATGTAGTTAAAACAAACACTGAAATTACTTTTAATGAAATCAATGTCATACCTTTGCTATGACAGTGATCATTACTTATATGATCTGGCTCGTTCATGGTATTTAATCCATTGAAGACCCACACAAACACCAATTTAAATCATCACTACATCAGCTGATCGCGCAGATAAACCAGTTTGTTTTCGGCCTCGGTGTATTTTTTTTCTTTTGTGATGTATGATACAAATCGTCTTTTATGAAACGCTTTAAAGATTCAGACCAAGTTTGAAGCTTTTTTTGGCCTCCTTTTAAGAAGAGCAGTGCCTATACATTTCACCCCATCAAAAAAAGACCGAATCAATGGAGGTGTATGTTCTTGTGTACTACGTCATCAAAAAGTGGTATAATGAGCCTCCTTAACTTTTGTTGCAAAAAAAACTATTGTTTAAGAAATAACTATATATTGCTTAGCTTAAATCAAGGAAAATAACATGTTCTTTAATCTTTATAGCTTTATGCAAGAAAAACAAAACAAGTTTCATAAAAGTATCGGTCTATGTTATGTAAAGATATTGGTCTATTTGAAACACTTTCCATTTTTATAAGAAATGAAACATCAAAAAACAAAAATGTTAAAACATGTGCATGAAAAATAGAAACGAATTATTTGTTTTTATTGTTTATGCGCACGTGTCAACCTCAATTGTACTTACTTTTCTGCACTAGTGTCGAGATTCCTTGGCAGCCTAATATGAAATCACAGCGATCATTGGAACAAGCACACACCTGTTTACACTTTAAACCATAACTTGGATATACACACTTATAGGTACAGCTTATGCCAGAAAAACCAGCCTCACATGCTAGAAAAAAATCATGGAATTATATATCTGACTTAATGAATAATCTGCAAGTGGACGACTTTTGCACTAGATATATTAGACTGAAGTTTATCTGGTAAATTACATTTTTTTTACTGAATCCACTTCTTTATTTTGATATGATTTTTAATCATTTTGACCAACGAAAAAGAACTTTAAAAACCTCGAAATCAAAAGTATTCATTTAGAATCTCTAAAGTTATAATTTAAGTTTCTTATAATAGAGCAACTAATATACTAATCGAAGGTGTATGGCATACAGTAATGAGAGCGGTTTCCACGGCGTAAAATTTAGGCATTTTTCTAAACATTTTTCTTCTTGGGAAGGTATAACTTATTTTAGTTGCATTTTACCAATATGATCAAAAGGAGGCTAATTTTGATTTTGCAAATCGAATTTCAATTTCTGTTACGTGCTCAAATATGTGAGATGATCACATTTATATTGATATTTGGAGCTGAAAGGCTATATGTAAAAACTGAATAGTGATATAAGCATAAAAAGGAAATCATAAATGTTTTGTTTAAAAAGTGTTTTTGGACATCTGATTATTTCAACGATTGAGGAAAATTAAAAAAATACAAATTAAATTAAATTTTAAAAACCACTTATTGCAAAGAAGAATTGTAAATTGCGATTTATATTATGAAATATCTTTATATTTTTATGCAGATTTTGTCAAAACGTCTCAGGATAGATGATATTATGAGATAGATTGACAAGTATTTCCCAAACAAACGGGGCAAACACTAATAAATCTATGACTGGAAATATTTGTCTTCATTACATCCAAAATAAATTATATTGTCGGTTTAAGAAATTTATTTTACATATGTATTCAAATAACTCTGTGTATTGTATAAGCTTAAGGAAGAAGTGACTTCTAAGCTTCTGTTGTATTTATTGGTACAATACTTTACCTGTACACTTTTCTGTATTGTTATTCCATTGATAACCAGGACAACATCCGTTTGGAAATCTGAAAGATACAATAAATCATTTCAATTTTTGCAGACAAAATGATCTTATGCATACAGGTATATATTTGCATCAGAAAATAGAACTTGTCCTCTTTTACATATGATTGGAGTCGCCCACATTGCACAGTGGGAAAAGCCTTTGCTCCTGATTCGCAGAGTAAGTACTTGCTCTTTACATCGTGGGTTCGAATCCCACCTTTTGACTTGCAGACCGGTACTTCGGATGAGACCGTAAAAATCGAGGTCGATATGGTGTTGCAGTAGATGCTGTCACGACAAAAAAACATCCCTCATTGCTCAATTGGCTGAGTGCTGAGCATAGGACAAAATTTGCATCTCTCCTTCGGCAAATGGCGGCGTCTCCACATAAGAAAAAAAATTCTCAAGAGAGAAAAATCAAACAAAATACAAACAATTCTTATTGATTTAAAAAAAAGAAGAAATTAAACACATGTATATGTATGTGAAAAAGGAGCACTTTATATTTCCAGTTGAATAAAACTTTCACATTGAAAGTAGTCAATGGATGGATTAACTAGTGCAATTGAAGATGCACGTATGTATATGATAAAGTTCTTACCCTTTACAACTGAACTGGCTGTAAATAAATCCAAGTTTTAAGGAACAAATAAACACAAGTCTTATAATTGATATTTTTGCTGTCATTTTTAGCGTTCTTTTTGTATAAAAACACAAGAGAATACACGGAAGAATATGATCATTTTCAACGATTTCCTTGTGCAAATACTAACGTGAATTTGAAACCATCCCTCTGTTCATGTAACTCAAACCAAAACATAACCTTAAAAATTAAAATTTAAATTAAATATCATTTTACAAAGACATCAGTAAATAAATATTAAGGGAAGTGTTTAAAGAGAATACATCGACTGTTGCTTCCAAACGTTTTAGTTACAAGAATACTCAACAGAACCTAGAAACATACTCCCTTTTGATGTTTTCTACATACAACTTTTGTCTCTCCCGACAATATATCACAAGGGACGTAGATAAAGTAATTAAGGTAAAAATAACGAAAAAATCCGTTTTCAATTCAGTTTATAAATACTTGGATAGCAATAGTACAAAAAAAGATTTGATTCAATGATAAATGGTATCTGCAGGTAAGGTCATTGTATCAACCAAAGAACCTGGGAAATTATGGCTTTCAAGGAGACTGCTGATATTCTTCAACAGTGATGACTATGAAAATTTTATTTTACTTCTTTTTAAAAACTTTGATTTACTATAGTGATGATTTTAATACATTGATTAACTTTACTGATAACTATGAAACTAAAGCGATCACTTTTAAAACCTATGTTCCTATGTTGATCACTTTAACACTATTGTCATCACTTTGAAACTTTGATTTACTTTAGTTATCTATTGTAAACTCTGCTTATCCATAATATTTTTGTTAGGGCTCTTGTATATTTTCATCGTATAATGACAAAGTCCATGTTTCTCTGGAAGTCCATGTTTCTCTGGGAGACCCGAAATAAGTGTCATAACATAAAGTAAAATAGGAAGTCCATGACGACAATTTGTAACATAGATTTTGTAAAATTAAGACTCATTATAAATTTCATCCAGTGGTATATAAGAGAAGTTACAATTAAAAGATGGGTACCAAACAGACGACTGGCCGTACAGACGGACGAACCCCCGATCAATATAAAACTTACTTTTTTTTAAAGCTGGAATATACTTGTATAAAGTAGTCGCGGCAAACTAAATATTTTATTTGTACGTATTTCTTTTAAAGTTATTTTTTTTTTAGGATTTTTATTCATTAACTCGAGGAATTTAATAATTTCCATTTAATACATATACACATCCCATATTTTTGCAACCGATTCTCTAGAGTTTTAAATTTTTATTCGAGCGCTTTTCGGGGGTTTCCCAAAAAATTAAACCAATATTTTTATCTGTATTTCCATTCAAAAAGAACATGTGATACACAGGATTTGAGAACACCTTTTTTAAACTTCACGATAACTAATTTTTTTAACGAGGAGAGCTTGTAAAAGATGCATTCATTTGTTTGGTAGCACTCAACAGACTTTAAATCAACCAATATTGGCAAGGATTCATCTTTATATGGAATAAAAATGCAAGTACATTATTATAGATGTTGAAGCATTTTTGTGAACGAAAAAAAAACCCCGGGATTTTACATATTCTTACATGTACATACAGTAAAAGGTAAGATCTGTTTATACTTTGGATTTTACATTTATATAGGTTGTATTTTCCTCTAAATTAAAAGGCATTGAAACAAATGAAATTAACATCATTGTTTTGAATAAGTTTATGTTCCAACCACCATAAATTACCAAATAAAAATATCATTTTTCTCCGTGCATTTCTTGATAGACAGTCCTTGTCCTTATGAGATACCATATCATCTCAAACAGTTTGTTAGTGTAAATTGATAACAATGAATTTTAGTTATTTGAATTGCCATTTACGATAATCGTTTTGAATTTGAGTCATTTTTGAAGGATCTTGACTATAAGAATGCGTAAATGCCACAAAATATTTCAAAATCTTTGCAGGCTATTCTAACTTTGACAGGTTTGTTTTCTACATAATTATTACATGTATATAAGTGTGTTTTTAAAATCACAAGAATATAATTGATGTTTCTTTGATAAATCTGTATAATTAGCATTCCATTCAAACAACAGAATTTTTTTTTAAATTTACTTCCTTACTTAGAATATAATGATTAGGATCAACCAGGAAGAATCTTGACATTTAAAATGATACCTGGTCTTATGATCAATCAGCACGTTTTTATAACAGCGGTATTTAAACTGAATTATATTACCTAAGAGAATTAAAGGTAAGGTAACATGCGCTTTTGCCTGTCAACTAATACAATCAATCCTCCCTTCTATCACATTTCTTTTATCTTTTTCCCTCAAAATTAATTTCTTTCATCGTTCCATTCTTTCTTTATTTTTTGATTAGAAGAACTAAAAAGGTCTCCTTATTATCAGAATATATCTTAAAAAGACACATGTAGAAATACCGATACATTTTGAAAAAAAAAATCTTGTAATAATCATTTTTGTTGAGACAAAGCAAAGTTTTTGCTAATGATAAATCGTCTTAAAAAGTTAACTTACATGTAAGTCATTTATATATAACATCGTATAATTGTAAAAGAAAAAAATGCTAATCGTTTAACTGTAAATTGGTATAATTCCTCCTGATGTACATTTGTGCTAATTAACTATTCAAAAAGTATCAATATCATATATATCAGTAACGTTTCAGTTTATCTGTTACAGATATGCACAACCTAGTCAGAAAATCATGAAGAGTTATTATTATAACATCGCTTTATTTGCTTTCGTTGGAAATTTTCTCCAGGTAATCACTCGATATTCTTTTATTTAGATATTTTGCACTGATATGTACATAATTATTAAGTTTTGTAAAGAATTTTTGGGTTTTTTTTAAGTAAGAGAACAAGAACTTTTCGTGTTTGTCGTTTTTAATGTGTAAACAAAATATCTCGATAAAAACTAATTAGACTTTGAAAGTAGTTACATGTGTAAACTTTACATTCATTTACAGAACTTAGAGAGTGTTATGTACAGTTTACCAGATACAGCAAAAGTAGTTGAATCATGTCCAAGGTCACAGAATGAATGGATGGAGAGGTCAAGGATAAAAAATTGCTCCAGTTCTACACATCCCAACATCTCTTATCATTGTGTACTCAATGAATGGGGAAATGCTTCTGTTGAAGTGTGTGCAGCTTCCAGAGTTTTACTTTGTAAGTTTTCCGATGAAAAACGCTTTTAATGCATAAAAATAGATAATTAAAAAATTTCACTTAGATGTAATTATGTAAATATAAAATGAACATAATTTCAATATTGATTTTGAATTTATAAAAACGCAAAATTCATAAATTAATTGTAATAGATTATCTAAACAGGTTTTGATAAAAAATAATTATCAGCTCCCATATGCATCAAGTGGTAACCAAACAAAGTAAAATGAAGGACAAAATGATAGTTCACAAATTATAAGCCCACTTACTTAATTTTTTCTCAAAAAAGATGGAAGCTGTGCCGAGTATAACTTTGGTGCAAAACGAATTCAGAGTTCCAGCATTCGAAGATGTTCATCTTCAAATCCACCTTGTCCCAAGGTTTATAATTCTAGCCAAGCATATATGTGTACGTATCTATAAGTTATATAATTATTTATCTGAATATGTTTTTAGAGCTATGCATTTCTAAATAGCGAATGATACATGTATAAGTTTAACTGGACAATTGAATGAAAAATAGAAGTTCATAATGTTAAGTGTAGTTCTTATAGAAAATTTAAAAGATGATACAATATCCATTTTTCAAACTTTCGAATAAAATACATTCAGTCGTTCAAATGATCAGAAAAACAGTGTCCAGAGGTATACATTGATGTGAAGTTTTTGTAGATGAAAGATAAGAGTCTATGCAATTTCTTCAGTCATTTCAAGATATGTCAAGATAATGTCTAATTGATAACCTACTGTTTATTTTAATTTTTCTAGACCAAACATGTTATCATGTTATTGCCTCAAACATTTCCCATAATACCTCCAAATCAGAGTCACATTCATCATCGGGATTATGTACTGCGGAAGTTGCAGTAATATCAATGTAAGTTACCCCGAGCCTCACCAATAAGCACCCTTATAAAGCCAGTTTTTATTAGTTTATATCCTTCTAGATCCTAACAGAAATTATAAATGCATATCTGATTGTATTAAGTTTCACTATTGCATGATCTCTTTATTGAAGGCGTTTAATTAGTGTTACATTAGTTTTTGCTTCATTACTCCGAACGTTTTACTTTGGATTTATCTAGGGAGAGGGGAAGAGTTGAATTATTTTCTGGCAAAGAATCGATAGCATGCTGCATAGTCAATTTTTACATTTATTCCCTCCAACCCCTTATAGATTTGGGGGAATTGTAGTTGCAATCGGTAATGTATTTGTGGTGAAAGACATTCATCGATGTCATGTAAATGGAAGTGTCGTAATTTGCATCACGGTCAATACTCCGCTTTTCGGTGTTTTTAACATTTGATTTAGATTTGGGGGAATTGTAGTTGCAATCGGTAATGTATTTGTGGTGAAAGACTTGTAAATGGAAGTGTCGTAATTTGCATCACGGTCAATACTCCGCTTTTCGGTGTTTTTAACATTTGATTTAGGACACTTCGGAATATAAGGAAAAGTTCTCCATTTAGTTTCAGGAAAAATTGTGAAAATGAATTTGCTTGCACTCAAAAAAATTAAAATGTTCAAATTGACTCTATCTATTTTTGATAGATCAATTATCATTCTGGCAATTATCATCACAACCACAGTTTGCATTGTTCTGAAAAGAAAGCTCTGCCTATCATTCAAACGTCAATTAGGTAAGAAGATGGTTATGCTTTCTAACTCCTTAAAATCGATATGCATATTTTGATTAATGTTTAAGTTTGAGAAAAATCCTTGTTTAATGCCATGTTATAGAATTAGTTGCGTCTAATTATCTGTCTTTTTGATTCTGTTTTAGATGAATGCCAAACGCCATGTATGGACAATAACAAAGATACTCATAGCAACAAACAATTGATTAAGTAATGACTTAGATAAAAATAATTATTCGCTAATTAAGTAACATTCTTTATGAATGATAATAAAATGTTATTTCAAATATCTCCCATCCGCATTAATAAGACAGTATTTGATTATTTTTTTTTTAAGCAGTCTGATTGTTATATTGTTTTATATCTATTTTTTAAAATTTTTTGGCATGTAGTATTTTTATTAAATAATACATTTAAATTTATGATTTATTTTTTTCTAATAATATTAGATAAAAATTCATGATAACAAATTCCCTTTAACGCGATATGGCGATACAATGAATGTTTCTAAACTTTTTTTTGGAATGATCCAAAAGTAATGTCACAACTTCGATTGCAACAACAAAATTATATTTGATGGAAGCTATATTTATTTGAAATCAGACATAAACATTTTAATTCATAAATTATTCTTTTCAAATTATCGAATCGAATACATCTTGCGATTTTTGTAGTCGTTGTTTCTACATATAACTATTGATATTTTTCTGGTGAATAACAAACCATATTCAACACTAAAAGAGTCTATAATTGTAACGTTTTTGTTTGCTTATTACATATTTTTTTTAGATTTTTTCTTTGCATCTTTGCATTTGTAACACAGTCATAGGCGTAATGACGAAAAATTCAAGCAGTTGAGACGTCATAGCTAAGTGAGTGAAATATATGGTGATAACGAACAGTATTCAACATCAAAAGTGTTAAAAGAATAAAAAATAGGAGCACAGCAAACTTGTATCTCCGAAACCTCAGAGGTGGGATCAGTTACCATGGAGGACTGAGCCTGCCCTGCCGACCGGTCACAACCGCCTTGTGCTCCTTGTCATGTGATAAAAAAAATTAATGATAAATCTGTCATCAATACAGTGTGTAAATAATGGCCGAACAATTAGTATGAAAAACAATCAGCATTTGACAAATGATAAATTGTAATTGCTGACAAGGTCATTGTATCGACCATATAGAGCTTACAAAAACATTATAAACACCATTTTCAGCAATATATTTTATATAACTTTGGCATTTTTATTCTCAGTCAGAATGGTTTAATGACTTCTATCTATCATATTTCAGGTCATGAAAGAATTTTTTTATCGGAAGAAAAATATTAGTTTAACCACACTTCAGATATTTGTCACACTGTTAAGGAATATCATTATTAATTTATTCGATGAAAAGATTATAGTATTATGCAGATAAAATTTTATTAAACATATATTCAATATGCAATTCTGTAAGATAGCATACAACACGGACCCCACCCCCTATCTAATTAAAATTAGACTTGTTCTTTCGCTCCTCTACTATATGCTTCAATACAATAGTATTGAAACGTAAAGTAGTGGAGAAAAAATGTCTTTTCTAATAAAATTGCTCCCACACCAAATTAAACATTTTTTAGGAAGAAGTAATCAATAGTCAGATTAAGTATAATATCAAATGCTGTGTTACATGTATCTGAGAAAGATTGAGGTTAAATCTCTCTCTCTCTCTCTCTCTCTCTCTCTCTCTCTCTCTCTCTCTCTCTCTCTCTCATTGTTTGTTCAATAAAAACTATGACAGCAATATTAAGTCAATATAAAGTTGTTAAAATTTAATTTATAACCCATGATAAAAATGCCTCTTTCTATCGTCTTGTCGAGTGCTATCAAGGCCGGGAAATGTCAACAGATAAATATAGAATTCTATTCAAAAATCATCACAAAAAATTTAAACGACACATATTAAAATATATTATTGCATTAAAATTTAAAATATGAGTCAGTGTACTTATGCAATACATGTACGTCTATAGAACTTTCTTATATTTCTTTTCATTACTTTATACGTAATCGCCTCGGCAAGGAAATACTGTACATGTATGTAATATGGTTGTTATATCCATTGTGATTTATTCTATAAGTCAGTAATATTCTCTTATAAATTCACATACTTTGTAATGGTTTTATATATCGAAAAGGAATAAGCATGCTTATTTTACAACTAAACTACTTTTTTGTATTTTTAAACTTCGGCGTTTGTAAACAACAACACACATGTTTCACAGTAATACGAACCTTGTTACGAATGAAAACTTTTTTAAGAATTTACAGTCATTTTATTTATATAACTTCTTGTATATGCTTCAATATCTTAAAGAATGCTGTAAGAAATCATACGTTTAGTTAATTTACATAAAAATAATTTTTATTTTTCAATGCCGAAATTGTGTCAAGAATGAAGATTATAAATATTTCAGAAAATAACATACGTAAGATATGATCATATCACCAGATTTTTTTTTCTAAAAAAAGGTAAACAACACTTAGGGAATTTACAGGATTTCCCTTTTGGATTCCGACATAAAAAATAATTTGTGACTCATTAATGGTGATTCTTTTATATTTTCACAGCTTGAGAAATTTGCATATATTTTTCATGTATTATATTCATTTAATGGAAAGATAAATATCATATTCTATTCCCACAGATTTTCTTTGTATAGGATTGTACTCATAGCCATTTCTTCCTGGTTTAAATATGGAACAACGGGTATTTAAAAATGAGTACGCAAGGGGGGTTTTCCGTAAAAGCTATGTAGTGGGGCATATCAAAATAAGATAAAAAAGCAAGGTTTTTAAAGGGAACAGTACTGTTATGTCTTAGTGTAATTTTGCTCTACTTAATGTATGTTATTATATATTTTGAATTCTATTCCTTTGACACCAATTTGTCGATTGACCTACTTTTTTACGATGCATATGTACATGTTGTATTAATGCTATCTACGGAGTATTCATTTAACCCCATCCATGGCAAATATTTTTAAGTATTTCTAGACAAATTGATCTTAATATTTAGATGCATTATGAAATATTTTATTGTTTTGTTGAAAATTATGAGCATGCTGTACTTTTTTTTACAAACCAATTTTAAGTATTTTGAGGGGATGGGGTGGGGTTGGGAGGTTATCATCAAAATTTATTATCTTTACATATAACATGTTACCCATGTATTAATTTCTATAATTGCAAATTGCTCAAATAGCGCACAAAGCTAGCAAAAAACTGGTAAAACCAATAAGAAAAATTGTATAATTATTAATATTTTATAGTAATGGGTTTCTCGTTCCAAAGGTGCAAGATTTATTCTGATATTTGCAGTATAAACGAAGGTACTACTATTTTAATTGACATATTTATCAATGCGAAATTTAATCATTATGCTCTATGTTGTATATCGTTTACTTAATTAATTGTATTATTCTGATTTTTTTTATTGTCAATATTCTCTACATCTTTATACTTATTCTAAGTCGTTAATGAACATATGCATCTTCTTGAAATAAAATACACTGAGTTTAAAACAATTCCGTGCAATGTTATCTATTGCATTTTCCAGTGCCCTTTAGTATTAAAATATAATTGAAGAGAGAGAGAGAGAGAGAGAGAGAGAGAGAGAGAGAGAGAGAGAGAATTAAATAAATCAGTTAACGTATTTCAAATATAAGGTACAACAGAGATAAGTAATAAATAATAATAAAAAACAGTTATTTCTTAAGGCATTACGATTTAGTGTTACATAAATTATATATAATTGTTTGTTACTCATCTTTATATTTTGTGTAGTCGCTCGCGTGGCAAAGCTAGTGGTTAGAGCACACATCTGCTCAAAAGTCGCGAAGGAGTCGCAGGTTCGAATCCCACTGTGGGACGTGGAGACCGTTCCTTCGGATGAGACCATATAAACCGAGGTCCCGTGTTGCAGTAGATGCTGGCACGAAAAAGATCCCTCGCTGCTCAATCGCCCTAAGTGCCGAGTATAGAACAACATTTGCAGTTCTCCATCGGCAAGTGGTGGCGTCTCCATATGAGTGATAATTTTTCGAGAGAGCTAGGGACGCTAAACAACATATAATAAAATATATCTATTGTATATGCTAAATTATATAAAGTTGTTAATAATCCTTTGAGAATTTCAAACAAATAATTAAATATCACAAAAGTGGCAAAAATGCCAAATTCTATACAGATTTTTATTCATTGGAGGGGATAAGATAAGGTGTTCAGTTGTTGAGGGGGTTATGGAAAATAAAATAATTAAGCACCCATATGTAAGTCAAACTGCTTAAACATGTTTTTTTTTTTAATTCTCAATTAAATTAAAATATTTCAAAGTATTTGAAATTAGTTTCTTGCTTTTTCCTGGTTTTCCGCACTTTTTTTTCAAAACGCAACTGTTTTTAAATATGTGAGTCTATCCCGATAAGTTTAGATCAGGTTTTGGCTACAACTGATTTATGGAATTTCGATTTTGAATACTGTTCGTTATCTCTATCTTTCATTTTTCTGCAAATAATGAGCTTATTACTAGAAACCAAAGAAATCATTTAACATATTAAGTTTAAGTCACAATCTTTAAATTTCAGAAGTCAAGTAAACCAAACCTTAAATATTCTTTTGAAATTGCTTTATGAAAACGTTATCTGCAAAAGAGATGAATTCAATAACTAGTAAACATTTTACAGGCGATTGAAAATTTGAAAAAATTGACAATAAGTCTAAGTCTTGATGCAGGATTTTATTTACCGATTGAGATACTGGCATTTCAAGGTTGCATGGTAACACCCCTGGAAAATCAATGCTTTTCAGAAGGAAAATAAATAAAACATCAACATAGACGACTTCAGGATTGTTTTATTTTGAATTCTTGAAGACAGTTGCATATTACAATAACACATTTATAATCTACACTTAAAACGAGAATTTGCACAACAAATACCAGAGCAAGAACGTTAGAAATAAACAGACATAAATTATAGTCATAAGAGATAAAAATTATATAAATTATAAATACTGCATGTAGTTGATAAAACATTGAAAACATTTTCACCCTAAGAAAAAAAAACAATTTTCAATCTCGGCTGCTTCTCTCTTGATAACGGTTTCCTTTGCGTGAAAATGTTCGATGTAACCTTTAACTACATGCTGTATTTTATCATGTATTGAAAAATTTTAACAAATAGATTTACAGCTGAACCGTATGCGCATAAATTCTGCACAGTCTATTCACCCGTCTTCAAGCAATGTTGAGTGTTGCTACACAGTAGGACGTGGTTTCATCATTCAGAGGGTATATTTTTTTTAAAGATCCTCAATGCATTAGATTCACCTTATATGAATGAAAGTATAATATGACATTAAAATGCCTTCATATCAATCTTCAAAATGAAAATCAAATAAGAATTTTATTATTAATATTATTATTATTTTCATCAACAAGTTTCTAAATTGAAATTATGAACAAATACTTAGCGAATTACAGGGTATCAGCAAGTGGTTTATCTTGAGAAGCCTATAACATATTTTTGATGACAATAAATTCTTATCATTGACTTTTTTTACACCGATAAATCTATGTATGAGTAAATGCGTTAAATGTCTAAGTATTTAATTTTTTCTAACTATTTATTTTGCTTTGAAGACAGCCTGAAATAAAAATCATCCAACTTTTTTCACCTTTAAATATCGTGCCGTGTTTTCCTTGTATGGATGCTTTTAAATATTGTGAAAGATTTTTTTTTTTAATTTTGTTTGCGGCCGATTTGATGCTTTGCATCAATTTTTACTTGTTGATAGATATTGATGCAGAATAAATATGATGAAGGCTCGTCTGCAGAAATGCACCCTTACTACAATGGAATCTAATTTCTGAAGAAATGTATCTGAGCTGTATTATTCCAAAGCCAACAATTCCCCCCCCCCCCACCCAATCGAATACGAATTTTCGATTTAGGATAGAATGTACAGAACCCAGCAGGTTTGGTACACGTGGATGTTTGTAAAAAAAAATTTAGACAAACACTAGCATAATTTTTCCAGTGTAAACATGCCTAAAAAAATCACGCAAACGACGTGTACGTGCGCGTTTGAAAGTAAAATCGCTGTATAAGTGACCAAGCTAGCGGCCCTAATTAGAGCAGAGAGTATCTGTCAATATAGGGTGAAAAAATGAGTATAATTTCCTGCTGTATAAATATCAGTTTCAATTATAATACCTTGACAATAACCGAGGTTGCATGATGAAAAGCTCTATCTTGTTGTGACGTTGTGACGCGCCAACGTCACCGTCATGGTTGGTTGGAAACATTTTAAAGTAACTCTTTGACAACAAAAAAAACTTTTATTTAGTTGAAAAGTTGAAAACAATCTGAACATCAGCATGTTTTTGCCTTTTTATTTACTTATACAATATTGAATTCAATTACTAAACCCACAGTAGATTCCGTCAGCCATACCAAGATTACAAAAACAATTATACTGACTGCAAATATGCAAAGCGATGTCTATAGCTCTATTGCATCGTATGGCGCTACAAAATTTTATCTCAAATTTATCGTCATCTACATGCACGTATTTTTGACTTTTTAGCTCACCTGAGCTGAAAGCTCAAGTGAGCTTTTCTGATCACATTTTGACCGGCGTCCGTCTGTCTGTCCGTCTGTCCATCTGTCTGTCTGTAAACTTTTCACATTTTCGACTTCTTCTCAAGAACAGCTGGGCCAATTTCAACCAAACTTGCCACAAAGTATTCTTGGGTGAAGGGGATTCAAGTTTGTTCAAATGAAAGGCCAAGCCCTCATTCAAGGGGAGATAATTGGGAATTAATGAAAATTTGGTGGCATATTTTAAAAATCTTCTTCTCAAGAACCACTTTGCCAGGAAAGATGAAACTTATGGGGAAACATCCTCAGGTAATGTAGATTAATGTAGACAAGTTTGTTCAAATCATGACCCCCCGGGGTAGGGCGGGGCCAAAATGGCCGACCTAAGTTTTACATAGAAATATATAGGAAAATTCTTTAAAAATCATCTTCTCAAGAATGACAAAGCCATAATTCATCACATTTATTTGGAAGCATGCTCAGGTAGTGTAGATTCAAGTATGTTCAAATCATGACCACCGGGGGTAGGGCGGGGCCAAAATGGCTGACCAAAGTTTTACATAGAAATATATAGGAAAATTCTTTAAAAATCTTCTTCTCAAGAATAACAAAGCCATAATTCATCATATTTATATGGAAGCATGCTCAGGTAGTGTAGATTCAAGTTTGTTCAAATCATGACCCCCTGGGGTAGGGCGGGGGCCAAAATGGTCACCCAAAGTTTTTCATAGAAATATATAGGAAACATCTTCTCAAGAGTGACAAAGCCATAAATCATTATATTTATATGGAAGCATGCTCAGGTATTGTAGTTTCAAGTTTGTGCAAATCATGACCCCGGGGGGTAGGGCAGGGCCAAAATGGCCGACCAAAGTTTTACATAGAAATATATAGGAAAAATCTTCTTCTCAAGAATGACAAAGCCATAATTCAATAGCTTTTTGTTCACAAAAATTACGCGGCAGCACTCCGAGTAAACAAGAAGTATATAAATAGGAAGCCTTGTGTGGCAATCTGATTGGCTGAAAACAGCTAAGGCCTTGACAAAATTCATGTACGCGGTAAAACTGGGTCACTGGAAGAACCGGGTTTACAAATTAAAAGTTTTGTAGATTTACAAAAATATAAACACATTGACATCCACAAAAATACATACATGAAATGTTTAACATAAATCGCTTTAATTGAAAATAAATCTTATTTTATATGGAAGCATGCTCAAGTAGTGTAGATTCAAATTTGTTCAAATCATGACCCCCGGGGGTAGGGCGGGGCCAAAATGTTCGACCAAAGTTTTTAAAAATATATATAGAAAAATTCTTTAAAAATCATTTTCTAAAAAATAGCAAATCCATGATTGGTCATGGGACTACTTTTGGATTTAAACTTTACAATAAAAAGCCATTTTCTACCTTTTCCTACCCTTAGTGCTCAGGTGAGCGATGTGGCCCATGGGTCTCTTGTTATCACTTCCCCTACGTGACGCCATACATTTCATGGTTGAGTAGTTTTGACTAGCGATTTTAGTGCAAAGTAATCAAAATACACATCTGACCAATCTTCATTATTTTCGGCAACATAGTCAAAAAAAAATTCCCATATTATGTTCTTATGCGTTTATTTTCCTTTCAGTATAAATAAACGGGTGTTCATTATATATAACATATTTGTATCCACATCACACGATTTCTTACTATAAACATGATAAATAAAAATGGAATAAAAATAATTCAGTAATTACTGATCGACGATTCATATATTATACAAGATTAAAATTTCAAATGACACACAATATGAAATAAGACTTTAAAAAATCCACAACAGTTAGCATTGTGTACAATGTACTACATGTAATCGTATGGGTAGTAACCAGGTACAGAGTCCTTCAGAAGGTTTCGCATTACTTTCCAAATCCAAAGAATCCTCCGCCTGTAGTAAAAAAAAACAAACAAAAAGAAGACTGATGCCATTTTCTACCAGTATTACTACTTCATCAGACCACTTTCGTTATTATAAGTTATTATAACTATAAGTAATTGTAATGCCTCGAGATTTAAGCAATCTGTGGCATTGTATATGTTTAAACATGGTTCAATAAGGCCACAAAGAAAAAGGACAGGTCCTTAATAATTCGTTTTCTCCAAGAAATAGGGCTAATTTATCTTTTTTATCAATTTTATGATTATTTCTGGTTCCAGACAAAATTGACATAATGAGAAAAAGGATTTTTTTTTAAAGTTTGAAAAAAGAAATGATGATAATTTAGGTACATGTAATTATATACGAAATTATCGTGTTAAAGAGCATAACAGAGTTGGTTTATATGCTGTAGTAGTAAACAGACATGTAGTTTCATGCACTGTTTCTCTTACGGCAAGACGAAGATTAGGATATGCATGTTTTTACTGAAACTGTAAATTGTGTTTAGAAAATGTTAAAACAAATTCTCACAAATACTCAGTCTTTATGTGAGGGGAATATAAATCATATTGCTTTTTAAAATATTCCATTCAATAAGGAACCCATTTCTGTGATCATTTTCTTAAAAAAATGCATTGTGTACTTTATTATTCAGGCAAAATAAAAGAAAATAAGGTATCAAATTTAAAAGCACATTTTTCAAAATAAAATAAATTTTGAAACCTTACCACTACACGGATTAGTATTACAGGAAGCCGTTTCAGTTTCGGATCCAATGCACAACGCCCCTCCATACATTGGGTAAGGGCTGTTACATTCTCTTTTTCTTGATGTTTGACCACCAGCACAGCTCTTCGAGCAAGAGGACCAATTTTCCCATGGACCCCATTCACCATTGACTGAAAATATTGAAAATGGTCCATGAAAATTACGCATTTTCTTAACTTTAAAGAAAGAATATAAAAAAAAGTAGATAACAAAACTGTAGCATTAAGAATTAGTTATTTTAGCATTTCCACTATCAATATTCCAGACCATGGCGCTCACAACTGTAGGATAAAGTTGTCCATTTTCCTCCTGGTGGACAAGTAATGTTATTTTGTGAGCCCACAGCAGTATACCCAGGAATACATGTACAACTATAAAAAGCTAATATGGGGGAATTTTTTCGATCTGTGACAATGCCGTTCTGTAATGTGTGAAGATGTTCTGAACAATCTGAAGGGTTTAAAAATGCACACATAAATAAAAAAGAAATATTTCTACCAACTTTAGACAGCAAATGATGTTAAGTAATAAAAAATGGCATGTTTAAACATCAAAATATGTAAGAAATAGTAAATGCATCTACAGATATTTACCGTTCACGGTAGCTCAGTCGGTAGAGTGCTCGATCCGTGCATGATCGGGAGGTCGTGAGTTCGTATCTCGGCCGCGACTGACCTAGTCGTTAAAATGGGAAGCAACTGTTTCTTCGCCATGCGCTCGGCACTCTGAAGTGAGAGTTGAGAGTTCGGATGAGATCTTAAAAACCGAGGCCCCGTGTCAGCGGCAGGCGGTGGCACGATAAAGTTACCTCACTGCTCAATGGCCCTGAATGCCGAGTAAAGGTCAAAATTTGAAACCCTTCACCGGCATACGGTGACGTCTCCATATGAGTGAAAAATTCTCGAGAGGGACGTTAAACAATACACAATCAATCAATCTACAGGTATTAAAAATAATATTTTGAAAATACAATATTTCTTAGGGCTATTTGCGATTGTCTGTCATCTCTAATGGGTTGAAATATTTTAGGACTTATTATCGGGAAAAAATATTTAACAAAGGCGTAAGCAATAATAGTTATTTGGGTTGTTCGAGAGTTTGTGACGCAAATTAACTGTAGAGTTTACACTAAATTGAGAGAATGATCTTGTTTAGTATCATCAGAAATTTGGTCTAGTTTACGTTCATTCTGATGAAGTCACTCAGTTTGTTAATACCATTAGGGCGGAATGACTTCAATCTGTGCATCCAGAACTTTTTCTCTGAGCGTCTGTCCATCTTGGGTTATGGTCAATCACCACTACTGTCATGTCATCCCATTTGTGACCCTCAAGGCTGAAATGTTCCCCAACGGGTTTTTTGAGTTTTTTGGTCATAATGGACGAACGGTGGTTATTTTCTCTCTCTTGCGGAGATCTCCTGTTTCGCCAATATACTGTTTGGAGCAAACTTTACAACTGATGAGATAAATGTAGTCGTCAGTATGACAGGATGACAGGACAAATTCCCTAGTATTTTGTAGCTAGGGTCTGTAACAGGGCTGTTAAAACTGTCTGTGTCAGTGCTGTGCTTACAAAGAAGACATCAGAGCAAGTTTTAAAGCCCCCGTTAGGTAATGGGATGTCCAGTCTGGTTCTCACTACCATGTCCTTTAGGTTCCTTGGGCGTCTGTATGCAGCCGATGGGGGTTCCTTAAAGACCTCTGCTATTCGTTTATTTGAATGGAGAATTGGTAGGTTCTTTTGAAGGATACCGCTAAAGTTTTTAAGGACGGGATGGTATGTGGTTACCAGAGGGACCCTGCCGCTATTGTCTTTCTCCTTGTAGCGTGATAGGTTTTGCCTGTCATGTCCCGCCATCTCATTAATATATGTTTGTAAGGTGCGGGTATTGTAGCCTCTTTTGCATAAGTGGGACTTAAGCAGACCACTTTGCTCCTGATATAAGGCAGGAGACGAACAGATGCGTCAAATTCTGGTGGCTAGACCCTTACGCACTCCCTTAATAGTGTGTGGGGGATGACAGCTAGTGGGCATAAGATATAGGGGGGAGTCTGTGGGTTTGGTGTGGAGACTGAATTCAGGGTAGATGTAGTATCTATGAATACTTTTTTCGAATTAGATACGTCTACTGTAAATTTGATCGACTGATGAAAGGTGTTGGCAACGTAATGAATGCCTCGAGACTCTCGTGACAATCCACCCACTTCATCTCTATATCGTCAATGAAACGCAACCAGTTATTGGGCCTAAATGGTGCTTGAAGTAACAAGTTGCGTTCCAGTCTACCCATCAAAACACTGGCATAAGACGGTGCCATTTTCGTACCCATAGCAGTGCCATTAACCTGCAGGTAATGTTCTCCATTAAACATGAAGTTGTTGAACTTGAGAACATGTTCAAGGAGCTTGGCAAAGGACTCGGTAGAAGGAATTTGTATGGATCTACTATCCCAGACTTCTCTGCAGGCTTCGATACCTTCATCGTGCGGAATATTGGTGTACAAAGATGTGACGTCCATAGTAACGAGGAGATTATTATCCGGTAGGCCAGTAGAGGGCGTCTTGTTAATGTAGTCCGTGGTGTCCTTGAAATATGATGGCAAATTCTCTACGTGTGGACGGAGATGTAAATCAATGAATTCAGAAATTTTCTCCATGGGGTGTCCAAATGCGCTAACTATGTGGCGATCTGGCATGCCTTCTTTGCATATTTTAGGAAGCAGATAGAATTGTCCTGGTCTACAGTCAATAGGATTTAAGGTCTCATAGACATTGATACCAGTCTCATTTTTCTCAAACATATCGTCAAGAGTTTTGGTAATGGCTATGGAGAATTCTTTAGTAGGGTCAGAGTCCATTTTATTATAGAAACGTTCGTCTGAGAGTTGTCTTTGGGCCTCCGCAATATAAGTCTCTTTATCCAGTACTACAACTGTACAGCCTTTGTCTGCTTTCTTGATTACAATGTCATCCCGATTTTTTAATGATTGTATGGCAGATCTCTCTTCCTTACTCAAATTGTCGGGAGTCTTGTATGGCATCGAAAGGAGCTTCTCTATGTCTGACTCAACGGCGTCAATATACGACTCAAGCGCGCCGCCCTTCCCGGTGCAGGTTCCCGGTCACTCTTGGGCTTATAGAGTTCGTGTTCCTCTAGATCGTGTAAATCTGGCTTGGAAAAGTCGTATGAATTTACTTCGGAGTCTTTTCTAGAGAAGTGCTCCTTCAAACGAAGTCTCGAACACTGTCGCGGAGAAATTGTTTTTTGAGTCTTGTTTACTTTATTTGTTAGGGCCAAATTGTAGGTGTCTATGATATTATGGGCTTCATCAAGAAGGAAGTAATCTATGACCTCATAGTAAGGCTACGTTACGTAAAAGTTAGGGAAAATCAAACTGGACAATAATGGACAATAAATCACATATTTTTCAGTCTCAATAAACAAAGTAAAAAGAAATTCTAATTGCTGGTACTGGTATATAAAAAGGTAATTTCTCAATGTTAATGTTAATGTTAATTGATGTTAAGTATATATTAAGATATATAGATTAAACATATAGAATATGAATCGGAAAGATGCATTATCTTATAAATATAAAAATATGCAAATATTTGTTTTTGCAATAAAATATAAAACATTAATAAATAAATAATGATAATAAGTCTCGCTGCCATGGGGTACATGTACATCTTCCACCTCACAGAGTCCATAATAATTACCCCCACATTGCAGCACTACTGAAGGACAGATACTGGATCCCTTCAGATAGTCAGACGGTTATTATTACAAAGCTATCGAAATATCATAAACCATTTATATGTAAAGTTTACATTCAATTTCTTTTATAAATCTCATATTGATACATCAGGTTTGCCTTTACATAATACAAAATATCATTTATATTTTCTTCTCTTTTTTCATATCTTAGATTCATTTTGATCTTATATATAAGAAATGCTATGTAAGATAATAGATAATTCAGTGAAATAGTAGTTTTGTTTTCTTCATAGAAAAACCCCAATACAACTTTTTTTTCCATTTTATATTAAAATTCAGACGGTTTTCTAGATTCCAAATCATTTCTACATTTCTACGATCACAAATTTGGTGTTTTGTATCAAGTGTTTCAAAAAATGGACATTTATTTGATCCTTTTTTATTCCGTTTGTGAAAATTTTTGTTATTATTAAGTAGAATCTGCAATAGCTTATAAGTAAATTCTGCTAATTGTTTATCTTTTATTTTCGTAATCTTTGATTGATAGATGTGTATAGAAATATAGTTGATAATTGAACATTATTTGAATTGGGTTTGCTTTTATTTGAATATATAATAAGGTATGCTAGCCTAAAAAAAATATAAAATTCACGACTTACCGGTTGCAATGCATACATATCTTCCAGTGGAGGTATGTAAACACGTTGAATAGTTGTTGCATGCAATTGCACCACACATCTTTTCACTTTGATGGCCCTATAGATGATATTCAATAGGGTAACATTTTGTGATTCGTAAAAAAAATTACTTGTTTATTAAATAGCGGAGCAGTTTCAAAGTATTCAAAAATTGCGTTTCACCAGGGGATTACGATTTCTACGAATCTCTTTCGGTAAAATAACCAGTTTCCCAGCATTCCCGGGAATTCCTATGGAAACCGAATGGATACCCCAAGATAACATAACATCATCGTGTTGTTTCCGTGCTGAATACTTGGTTATTTCCCACCTGTTCCCATGCTACAGAGATACCCTACGTTTCAATTCCACTAGGTATTCAATGCCAATAAACAGTTGGAATCGCAAGGTTTCCCAAAATTCAAGAACTTTCCTCGTTGGGAAACCTGTGAATTCCTTTGGTTTCCATGACATTTGATATGCAAAATGAAACAACAGAGATCTTTTATGACCGACTTAAAATGATCTTCTCTTGCTTGCTCCTACACGAATCCTAAATGATGTTTCCTTTTTATTAATTAATTAATAACTTCATTCTTCGATTTTTATATTTCATGAAATCTATTACGAGCAACAGCATAATTATTTATTAATATTATATAACTTTGTGAAATCCGGTAATCTGATTGGTCAATACGAAGTACTTATTTTTCAATAACGACCGCTGAAAGCGAATAATGACTCGCACGAGCTGCCTCGTTTTCACTTTCGCTTTAGACAAACATGGAAGTTCGCAAGTTGTAGGTGAGGAAAATTTAAAACATATACTGAAGAACTCTGAGACTGATAATACAAAACAATTACTAGGATATTTGTGAATATTTTTCGGTAATAATTAGCACATACCATTTCATGTTTGAGTTCGACCTTTCCACTTGGCGAGCAGAGTTTTGACGCTGTTTACGCAATTACGGAGACTAAAGAAAATATAGACAAGCATACCATGTAAGATTGTATCTATTCTTAGAAGACATAGGTATTTATATTTTGTCGGTGCATTTCGTCTGCAAGTGAAAACGAGAGCGATTCTCAATCTGGGGGAGGGGGTACTCTGTGTTATTCGGAGATGGATATCTTGCGTCATTATTATGATATGGGAAATTTATTGCCGAAACAATTACCTCTGATTAATATTCATTGAATTCTGAAACATTTACATTCATCTTATTTATGGTAAATACTATCTCTGTAAATAATAGGATGATATTCATTGCACTAATAAATTTGGGAAATTATTTATATAATATAATAAATATGGACTCAATGCACGGAAGTCCAAAAGTTGCTGCACTACCCAGGATGACAGAAAATTCGATATATCTGACCTCATGATACATGAAGTATATCGACCTCGGGCTAGCGCCCTCGGTAAATATAATACATGTATCTTCGGTCAATATCTGTCATCCTGGGTCATTATAAATGCATATTGACCTACACTGAGTCCATATTTGTATATTATTATTATTATTATTATTTTATGAATAAAATAGATTAGTTTTTTCAGCATTATATAAAATGGCACTTTTTAAAAAAGTAACCCCGTGAATTTAGCCATGATGGCAAAACCTGTTAAATATGTGCATTATTAAGATTTCGGAAAAAAATATCTCAGCGTTGATATGATTTTCCTTATTTAAAGGGTGTGAAATGAGGCAACTTGACAAGTTTCTAAGTTTTAAGTTTTCCGAAAATGTATCATTTACAGATGCATTAATGTCTACATTTTTGCAATTTTCAAATATTAGCATGTCAATTGATTGAATAATTGTATAGGAACCTCATTTTATAAGAAAGCTGCCTTAAGTTACTTTATTTGCATTTCATTCACTGTTCGCTATCTCCATAAGTTTCATTAACGAAAAAAATATATGATTTTTCTTTTCATTTAATTCTTTTTTTAATGATGAAGGTTTCTTTGCATGAAGATGACAAAACCTGTTAAATATGTGCAATATTAAGATTTCGGAAAGACATGATTTTCCATAATTTCTTTCAAGAGATTGAAATGACGCAACTTGACACGAATAATTTCAAATTGCTTAAAACGTTTACTTACAATATCTGGCAACTCCTTATGAATATAATCCCAGTCATCTAAGAGGGTTTCATTGTTGTTCTTTTTTCGATTAATTAGCTGACATATAAACTCATGCCGATTATAATTCACAGAAAGACAATAAGTATGATCTACACACTGATTCAAACAGGTTTCCAGGCCAATATCCGATAGAATTTTAATGGGGGTGGTCGAAAGTTTCTTCCCAATCATGAAATCAAAGCATGAAAGTAAATTACAACTGACCGTATTTAGATTGATAATGAAAGAAATGGTCGGAAGGAAACAAACTATACGTAATCTAATCATTTCTATTTGTTAATTAGATATTTCAAACATATGTGATTTACACGCTTTTGTAAGGCATCGATCGATTTGGTCTGTAAAAGCAATTCTCTAAAAGAAATTTTAGGTTTGGAAAAGCATGTTTAATGCATAATTCATAAAAGAGGATTTATCTTCTTTCTGATATGAAATGTTATTTTGAACTCTTATTAAAGTAAGGGAAATTTTTATGTTTGGAAAAACATGTTTAATGCATAATTCATATGAGAGGATTTATCTTTTTTCTGATATGAAATGTTATTTTGAACTCTTATTAAAGTCATGTTTAATGCATAATTCATAAAAGAGGATTTATCTTTTTTCTGATATGGAATGTTATTTTGAACTCTTATTAATTATAAAGAGGGGTGCGAATTTTACTATCAATATGTATATTCCCTTCGGTTTAATTTACAGGGAGCGAACCATGTTCTTTTGCATTGTTAAACATATAAAGTAATTGGTTACATTAAATTTGCAAATTAGGAGAAAAAAAAGGTTACATTTTATTCTTGATAATAAGTTTGGTATATTTTTTTTATAATTTAAACACAAACACGGTTTGACGTCTTCTTTATGACTAATTTGTGCCTATCTATAATTTTATAATGATTTTGGTAATCATACATTTTACACATTTTATGATAATATGATAAAACTTACCCCCTACCCTCTATTTCTTTGCTCTTCTAGAATGTATAAAAACGATTTAACTATGATAGTCTATACATCCCCATACCATTTTCATGCTGAAACATTGCATTCCCTGTATGAAAGTTCTTCTTTCCCGAAGATATTGTAAGAAGGATATGGAGATAACGAACAGTATTCAGTATCAAAGTCCATAAAACAATACAAAATAGGAGCATGGCAAACACGGACCTCCGAAACATCAAAGATGGGATCAGGTGCCGTATGTTCATTTACATATAAATTTGACAACATAACAGACTTAACATTTATGATGTATGACATCGACTAGAACTTTGAAATGACATATATGTGAATTCCTTTATGCTAGTAGCAACTTCTTTATTTTGTAATATATTTTTCCTGCATCATCAACGTATTTTTCAGAAGAATGTCTCGGTTTAAACCTATTGTACTCAAGGTATTTTAAGAATATAGAATAATATAATGGTGGGAGATGTAAACACGTTATGCAGGTGAAAGATTAAGATTTCTTCACAAATAAGTAAATGGTGATAGAGAAAATCTTAAAGTCATATCCCTTGTCATATAATTTAGAGGTTTGTTGGTCCATAACTATCGTCTAAATTCGATAAAACATCTAAAATTGACATGGCTGATTCTGTGGTGTATTGTATTTGAGACTCACTGGGAAATATGAAATAGGTAATTAATGTAAATAACTTCCGTTCATTGATTAAACATCTTCGACATATCTAAATGTCGAATTGAAGACACAAACAATTGTTTTCTTCTTAAAAACAGGCCAAATGACGAAAGAGCCTAATTAATGCCCCTTTCAATTCAACTTTTCAATCGTCAACTTTCTTTTCTACATGTAACGTAGGGGATCTCAAGAATGTGGGACCTCCTGTGTGTCTTTAACTTCATTAGATATACATATACATTTACATTACATAAGATAAGAAAAATACTGTGTGATTAGGGATAGTAATAAGAGCCATCGCTGTTTTGTGATACAGATGTCGTTATCTTGTTTATAAAATAACATAATTACAAAAATTAAAGGAAGTTTCCCATTGCCTTATAATGCATGAAACATTCTTGCTTGTCATGATATTGTTTTCTAATTACTTAGCAGAAATGAAAATGATAAAACATAATACAAAACACTGCCTCGTGTGAATGTTCTGTCATTGGAACTTCTGATCCGTGATTGCCTGCTCATGAAAGATGCAATTGTCACGTACTTTGACTACTTAGGAAATTCTCAACTAGTCGCACATAAGTTATCAGTACGACAGGAGCTCTGTTACAATGCAAAATGTAATATCAACGGAAAATGTAATAAAGTGGGACTACTAAATTTTGCTTTTAAATTATAACATTTTGCGTTGAGATCAACACAGAATGTAATCACGCAAAATGTAATAATATTTTATGGATTATAACATTTTGTGTTACATTGTAAACTATTTTGCAATAGAATTAACGCAAAATGTAACAAAGTATATTTTTGTCGGTACATTTTATGTATTGAGTTTCAGTTTTGCTTTGAGGAAAACACAAAATATAATGTTACAAAATGTAGGAAAACAAAATATGGTATTTGTTTGGATGCTTTAAGGTAAGTCACTCGTCAGCTTTTTAGAAAAGTTTACGCAGAAGCTTTTACTTCAAAACTACTTATTAAAATTCAAATTTTATAACATATTTAAATTCAACAATGTAAATTGTTTAACATTCAATCAAAACACTGCTCAAAAATCTACAAAGAAGCAAGATTTATGAGGACTATTTCTTTTGGTGGAAGGATATTTAGCAGAAAATTCTGCAAATCTGCACATTTATAAAATTTAATGTAATGGAAATTTTCTCACATACTTTTACTCGGAGAATATTTTCCGTTTTGATATTGCTAAAAATATTTAATATAGGTCTTAATTTATATTTTTAGACTAAGTTTTACACCTTCCGTCAACAAACTTTTCCAAAAAATGAAAACATATTAAAGAAGTCAAGGTCAAATTTACACCACTTTTTGCCCGAAAATCACATATTTTGACAAATATTTCAAAATTAACATCATTGACCCCACCTTTTTCTTTCATTATTTTAAACTAATCGATACTTGTGAATCAGAAAAAGTTTGATATAAAAAAATTTTTATTGCCTATTAAGTTTTTTAATACAAAATATGTTATTTTTTAGTGCAAACACAAATAATTTACGCGCATTAATTTGCAAGAAAACAAAATTTTATGCCATGCTTATCTAATCAAATATAATAAGTTAAAGTAATTAACCAAAGAGATGAAATTTTAAACAAAAAACATCATTGCACACTTGTGATTTTGATTATAATTAATAAAAAAAATCATATAAAAATTTCATGAGGAAAACAAAAAACATCATTACATTTGATTTTAAATAATAAACATAAACAGTTACAAAACAGGCAAAATTATAACCATGAGGCAAACGAAATGTGTCTATTTTATTATTCTGTTGCTGACAATTTTATTGAATACTTATTAAACATAAAGCTTACTCTGATTGATATTGATTGACCAATAGTCCATTTAAAGCTCCTGATATGCATGTACGGCATATGTACTTTAGCAAATTAAAAGTGTGTTGTCTTAGGCAAGAGAGGAGAGGCAGGGATGGAGTGGACCCCGGATGTTTACTGCGTATGTTAATCATTGTATTTCTATGTACACGCAGAAACTACCCCTTCTTATTATAGAAGAGAAAGAAAATAGAGAGACGGGGAGAGGGAGAAAATTTTATTTTGCTAAGTCTGCAGTACACGTAATTTGTACTGCAGTATTGAATCATAATTGTCAAAAACCAACCACCACTATATATTTACTCCTGTCAGTAAAAATAAGAATTTTTTTAAAATTCATTGTATTGTATATCAAAGGATACTGATCAATGAAATCCCACCAATAACCCACATCACTGCAATCTTTTTTTTAATTTGCAGCACCTATGATTTGAATTTAAGATTTTTTTTTAATTCATCAGGACATGACCCACGATGCTTTGCACAAGTATATTAAATTTTCATTAGTCGCGTTTTATTTATATCACTTTCAGATAAACTTTCACAATTAAAATTGGCATTTCAAAAAAGTGTTCATGCTTTTCTGCATTTTCATTTTAATTAAGGTGAAGGATATGGAAATAACGTGCAGTATTAGATCTCAAAGTCCGTAAAACAATACAAAACAGGGGCAGACCAAACACGGACCTTCGAAACATCAGAGCTGGATCACGTGCCATGGAGGAGTGAGCATCCCCTGCTGACCGGTCACACCCGCCATGTGCATGTGCTTCTTGTCAAGATCGGGAAATTCAGTGTATAAATAATGGACTAACAATTAATATGAAAAACGTCAGTCAGCATTTAACTCAATGATAAATTGTATTTGCTGACAAGGTCATTGTATCGACTATAGAACTTACGAAATGATGACTTTAAACGAGACGGCTGATATTCTTATTTCATCAACGTGCTTGTCAATAATTGACCTCGTTTTAGGAATTGTTCATAAGTAGAACATGCTCTTGCATATTGAATCAACTGAGATATATACACTCCGTATACAGGTGATGATGGTATATTGTTGCATAAGTAAGGGACGTTGACGATAGAAAAGTTAAAGTCATCACGTTTTTCATATAGTTTGTTTGTTAGATCATCACTAATGTCTTTTTAAAGAAAAATATCCATGAATGAAACAGATGTTTCAGACTCTGTGGTATGTTTTATTTCAAGCTTACCAGGATATATTGTATCGACGTAGGAATGGAAATGACCATTGTTAATTGCCAATACCTCGTCGATAAATCTAAATATCTAGTTGAAGGTCACAACAAGTGTTTTCTTTTTTTCACACATACGATTTTACAAATTCTGCTTCATATGAATATATAAATATGTACATCTTCTGCATGAAATTGCGTAATGGATTGCAAAAAAATAAATACCAATATATTGCTAAAGATACCTCTAGAAATTGATGCTAAATATTGGTAATTTTTTTGTTTGGGCCTCTCGATCGGTAATTTTATCTACTTAAGAGTAAGTGTTCGGGTAGTGCCTAAGAAGTTACAGCCACAAAGAGACCTACCTAGTTTGACCTGTATTGCAGTACACGTAGCCTAGTAGGGTGATCAAAACTTAATCTTATGTAAGTTTTAAAATACGTCAGAACAGTTAGATTTTCACATACTATATACAGGGAAATTTTCGCCCTGCTTTATTTTCGCCCCTTTCACCCCAACCTCGGTTGTTTAGATTCAAAGAAAACAGTATAATTTCT